ATTGCAGAGAGAGAGAGGAAGGGGAGGGGAGAGAATCATGGATGCGGTGCTTGCTGTGCACAGACTGAATGCGCCTGAAGGGGGATCGGACCCGCAACCTTTTAGTGCACTGGATGATGTCCCAACCCACTGAGACACACTGGCTCTGTATTTTTTAAAATTCTTTAAATAGAAAGTAAATGGAAAAGATGGAGAAATAAAAATCAGAAAAATTACTTGCTCTACCAGTGAACCTATAACTAATAGAAGAATAAACTTGCATTTATTTTAACTTGTTTTTAAAGTAAATTATTTGTAAACTTTAGCATTTTATAATTAGTTGTCAGTTATTTGTCACGCTGCTAATAAAAACACAGAATGAATGAGTCAGGGTGTCTTGGCACTGCTCTTAGAGCTTCTCACTCTAATATGGCAGCTTCTAGCCACTTGTGGCTGTTGAGCACTTTAATGGTCCAACCCGAGATGGGCCGCAGGTATAGCGCTCACCCTGGCAAATTTGACTGGGGACTGATGGTAAGTAATTTAGGCTTTGTGGGCCAACAGGCAAATGGAGGGGAAATGATGTAGCTATTTACATAACAAGAGAGAAAGCAAGTGTTCACAGTGTTTTTATTGACGAAATGCCACAGTACATTTTTTTGCAGTACACACCCCTGAGAGGAAAGGAGTTCTCTCTTGAGGGGGGCATTTCTCTTCAGGGGAGCTCACAGGTCGTGTACTGTTACCACACAGACTGCAAATGTTCCCGTGGGTAAAGCGTGCGTGGCTCTCGGGGCCACAGAGGCAGCGCTGTGGGTCTGGCCCTGGCCCACAGTTTGCAGACCTCTGTTGTTGGACCCCGTGGTAGGCAATGAATTTGGGGGAATTCCGCTCCTGGTTGCGAGGCAGTCCATCGCCTCTTCCAGCACCTTCCTCTGTGCCCAGTTCATCTGGTTCATTTCCTTTCCCTCAGGAGGCAGGACCCCATAGTCAAGATTTGTGGTCTGTGCCCTGACTGGTTTGGCTCAGTGGATAGAGCGTCGGCCTGTGGACTGGAGGGTCCCAGGTTCCATTCCGGTCAAGGGCCCATG